TGCAGTTTCCAGTTACCCGTGCACACCTGCACTCTTCACCTGTGGGTCTCACCTGGCCTCCACACCTGTGTTATCCGGACCCATCATTACCTCCACCCAGGGGAAGCTGCTCATGGGCCCTGCGGCCTAGGCTCCTCCTAATTCTCTCCACGAGCTAAAGTCCAATTCTGCCTTCAGTCCCATCCTGACGGAAGCCCCCGCTCCGAGGGCAGCGAGCTTTCTGCCGAACTCCCAGCATTTGCCTGAATCCCTTATGGCACTGGCCCTTGGCCAGCTGGGGTCCTCGTGTGGACACTTGCCTGTGCTCTCCTAGACTGCAAAGCACTGAGGCCAGACAGTCACAGGGTGCGCTCACTCAATAAGCCCGCATTTGGGGCACACTGCTGTCTCCCCAGCACACGGGCGTGTGCTTCCCTCCCCTGATTGCAGGCCCATGGGGATGAGTTCTGGAGGAGGAAGAGAGACAGTGAGCTACAGACACAATCACAACAAATGCTGGAAATCAGAAAACTCAGCCAGAGAAGAGGCAGGGAACACGCTGGGCATGGGGCCTGCAGTTCCTTGGGATGGCCACCATTCAGGGACAGAGAGAGGTCAGCAGCCAGGTTTTTGCCTCACGTGACCGCTGTGCAGGGTTACTATGTGGGCATATGTGGCTGGAAGTTCGTTTACAAATAACGTGTGTGTGGGCTTTGAACATAATTTAACTGCATAGCCCTACATTATAACTCTCCTAGAGATAATGAATTAATTGAACAAAGAAGTGGAGGTTTGATTACAAAAGGGAGATTTATAAACCCACAGTGGGTGCCTGTGAATACCTCTTATTTCCAACCACAGATCAGCGCACCTGACTCTGGTCTACTGAGCACATCTGGGTGGAGCCTCCCTTTCAGCTCTCTCATCTGTATCTAGTCCATCTCTATGTTGTTTGCTGTTCTAGCCCCATTAATCTCCTCCCTGACTTTCCGCTTTAACTTGCTTCAGTCTTTAAGGTGACTAATTGGTGCGTTAAGAAACAACATTTATAACACTTGTGTTGCTGATCCGTAGTTAAAAGCATACAGAGTTTATTTAGATTTGGGAATACAGGAAGCCGTAATTTAGATAATTGTAGATTCCCAAGCAGTTGTAAAAAGTAACACAGAGAGACACCACGTGCTCCTTACCTGGATTCCCCGTGGTGGCACCTTGCGAAGCTACAGTACATGCATGGTACATGCACAGCACGAGTGGAGTTCACGTGGAGACACTGACATGCCCGCCAGTCTGATTCAGATCCCCCAGTTGTTCCTGTGCTTCTGCGCTTGTGTGCATGTGTGTGTGCGTGGATTATGCTCTGTCTGGTTCTGTCACCTGTGCAGGTTCGTGTCCCCACCGCAGCAGAGGTGCTGAGCACTACACTCTCTCCCTCCCACCCGGCTTCCTCCGTGCTTCAGTCTGGAACCCTGTGTCTGCTATTGCTAAGATGTTGTCATTTAAGAAATATTGTGAAAATGGAAAAGGTATGTAACCTTTTGGAATTGGATTTCTTCCCCTAGCTCTAATTTTCTGCCTGTGGGAAGGTGACTGGATCCGGGGGTGTCAGAGTGGGGCTCGGGGTGAAGAGGGGTCACCGAGCCTGACCCAGAAGTGCATCTTCCTCCCCGCCCCTTCCTTCACTCTCTGCTTCCCCTCCACCTTGGCATGAGTGCCGCCCGCCTCTGCACCCCCTGTGCCGTGATGTTGCTTTGGAGCCAGCTGACCAAGGACTGAAACAGGAGCCAAAATAAACCTCTCCTCCTTTGAGTTGCAGGTGCAGCTCCCTGGGACAGTGTCCTGGCAGTGGGAGCAGAGACTCAGCCGGCTTCTGAGGGGCCCGGGCTGGAGGCGCCACCTGTCCGCCTGTCTGGCTGTGGGGCACTGGCTGGTTACAGTTTGGGGCTGTTAGGAATGAAGCTACCATGTGCACCCTCACTCGGTGCTTAGCGCAACACAAAGATTTCCACGGTCACTTTTGACCAAGGCCTGAATTTGAGTGCTGGCCTAACATCTTCCGCCTGGAATCCCAGAGGTCGGTAGGGTTTGTGATCCTGGCACGTCCGACACCTTCTGCTTCTCTGTCGGTCCACCTGAGAACCGCTGCCGTGGGGGATGCAGGCGATGCACTTGTCCACTGTGCCCCGGCCTTCCCTCCTGGAATGGCTGAAGTTGCCGCCCTGCCTTCCCCATTGGATGGCTCTTCTCGGGCCGGACTCTCTTCTCAGTGTCCGGCCAGTGTGGCCTCCTGCCCAGGAGCTGTGGGGCTGGGCTCCCCGGCTGCTTCCTCTCTGCGTCCACTGCCTCTGTCCCTGCAGCGCGGATGTCAGGGTTCTCTCCACCTCCTCCCCTAAATCAGGCACATCCCTTTCTAAGATGCCAGCTGCCATTTCTATGGCTTCCGACCTCCGCCCTGGCTCCCAGCCCCACCAACGTGCACCCTTGCTTACCTCCAACATCAGCCAGCATCGCGAGCTGTCCTCTGGCCTGACAGGCACAGCCCGGTCCCCACAACCCAGCCCTGCATGTGAGAGTCACGCGGTGCTTCTGTCTTGTCTCCTCTCCGGCAGCCTGGCCAGTGCCACCAGTCTGTGCGCCTCGCTGGTCCTCGGAAGGATGTCGCCTCTAACTCCCGACTGGTGCTGTGAGGTTTCCCGAAATCCAGCGTGGGGCGGCCAGGGTGTCCCCATGAGCTGTGGCACGTGGGACAGGGCTGAATGCTTTTGCCCTAGGTCTTCTTCGGCCGATCCCCTCCAATGTTTATGTTTAGCTAACACCTTTGGAAACACTCTTCACACACTCACCTGAGCACCTCGGAAACACTTAACCCTCGAGGCCCCAAAGCTGCACATCCGTTGCCATCCCTGTTCTGCAGAGGCAGAGCGAGGCTGACAGTGTAGGCCAGCTCCTCCCACCGCAGTCCTGCGTGGAGCCATGGGTGGCAATCGCTGCTCTCTGCCTCCTTCAGGCTTCCTTTTTGTTTTGTGGTGCTGGGGACCGAACAGGCAGAGCACACACCCCGGCCCCCAGTCCCCAAGCTCCACACCACCCAAGGTCCACCCAGCCCAACTGTGTGGGTCTTTTTAACTGCCAACCATCTCCAAACTCATAACAAAAACAGAACTCAAAGTTGCAGAGGACAGATTAGCTGTAGGTGGCTGGAGTGTGCACTGCCCAGTGTCCAGCACAGACTCACACCTAGCTCCATGTTTTGGGGTGCCACAGGAGCACCTCAGGGGCTTGGTCTCTGTCACCCTTAGGCTTTCCTTTGATGCTTTTGTGTGGAGAAGCCCAGAGAGTCACAGGCCTTATTGGTCAGGCAGGCTTTGCCGTGCTCTGTGTGATGCCCTGAAGGTGTGAGGAAGGGTTGCTTCCTGGACTCATCAGCCGGCTGTGCTGGACCCTGGGACAGTGGTTAACCCAGTGGGCACTAGAGCCGTGGCACCTGAGTTAAGCCCCAATGCTGGGGGCACCCCTGTGCGAACGGGTGGCCACTACTGGGGGACTTGGCTCACAGCACTGGCAGACCCATTACCCCCATGCCCACGGCGGGCATCACAGGAGCAACACCAGCTGCCAAATGAAGGCAATAACAAGGAGTCTGCAGTTTCCCAAGAGTATTCGCAGTTGTTTCCCACTGCTTACCCCACATACTATGATGTCTTTCATTATTATGTTTGCAATCACAAAGCAGTTGCCACTTCCTGTCAGCGTGCTAAGAGGAGCCTGTGGAATTGCAGTGTTGGTCTTCACCAAAACATCTGGCCTTCAGGGGGCAGCTGGGACTCCTGAGAGAGGGGTGTGGGGCCGCAGCTGGGGGGCACTGTGGTCTTCATTAACCCTGTCCGACCCTGGGCCAGAGGCCCAGTGTGTGCTGGGAGCCATCCGGAAACAGTTTCGCCCAGTGACATGCGTGAATCCTCCCATGAGCCAGCTGGCCACAGAGCTCTGCAGCAGACCCTGTGCCTCTCCTGGTGCCACCTGAGCTCACTCTCTCGGCTGTGCTCAGTGGGCCCATCCTGTGCCAGGCTCATGGATGATGACACTGGCCTTGTTGTCGGGGCTCGTGTCCTGGAGCAGGAGTCAGGCCTGTGATTGACGCCCTGGAGAAGCCAGGAAGCTCCCACGGTCCCGGAAGCCAGGGCCTGGAAGGAAATCATCCCCGGCCCAGTCTCCTGCACGGCCTTTCGGCTGTCAGCTGCCCATCCTGGAGCCTCTGCCCCAACTCACCCGGCTCCCTCTGTGTGTCAGGGACGAAGGGCCTCAGGGGAGAGACGGTGACTGAGGCCATCAGACCCCCGGTGAAGGGAGGGCCCCTTCCTGGCGATCGACACTGGGACCGAGAGCTCAGAGGTCCCCGCGTGTGAGGAGCTTTGCAGCCTCCACTTAATTCTAGGTGAGTCTCCAGTTTATCCTGGGAGACACTGTGGCCGTGACTGACTCAGCTTGTATTTTTGACATTTCTCTAATGTGACAGGCAATTGTGAGGTCTCGGGACTGAGGGGATGGGACAAAGAATCAGTCCAAGATTGCGGGGCTGTAGTGACTGACTGGCTGACCGGTGATTCGTCCTCACCTGGCCCAACTTTGAGGGACCACGGGCAGCAGAGTGGAAGGAGTCGCCACTTGCTGCCTTTGTGGGTGACCGGTTGGGGACTGGCCTCTCTGGGAGGCCACACACGGGTCAACAGGGCCAGTGCCCCAGCAGCCTCAGCCTGGGCGGAGCTCAGGGAGTTGAAGGGGGAGAGGCGGAGGTCAGGGAGGCGCAGGCTCTCGGGGGCCAAAGGACGGGCGGAGGCAGACGCTTCTCCTCTGTCTTGGTTTAGGTTTGATGTCTCCCCGATACCTCATGCACCCATGGGGGACCTCGGGAGGAGCCTGGGTTCTGGGATTTTTAGCTGACGGCGGCGAGGAGGCGGGGCCTGCGAGGGCGGGGCCTGGCGCGGAGGTCGGGGGCGGGGCCTGGGAGGGTCCTCTCCTCCCGCCCCTCCCTTCTCCCGGCTTCCTGCCCTCTGTGCCCTGAGCAGCTCTGCTTCCCAGGCCCCTGCCGTCCTGCCTCGGAGCCGGGCGCCGTGGACTGAAACGTGAGCCACTGTAAACCTTGTTCCTTTAAGTTTTAGGTCTCGAGCATTGTGTCTCAGTGAAGAGAGAGTGAAGAGGGCAGCCTCTATGCCTTTCTTGGTTCCCAAGCAATTAGGAAATAGAATTTTTTCTCAACCTTGATGAAAGGAGTGCTTGGGGACCTGGGCCCAGCCCCGATGTCCTCAGACCTGGGGACACTGGAGCCCGAAGCCAGTTCCCTGGTTAGGAAACCCAGGCCTCCCCCGGGCAGCGGAGCAGAAGCCCCCCGGGACCGGCTAAGTGAAAACACATTTCACTGCGTTGGGCTTTGTTACGAAACTTGGCTGGTTTCCAGGCCAGCGTTACCAGGCTGAGGAGCCCTGACCAAGTTGGCAGTTCTTCCTGGTGCCACTCAGTTCCGCCAGAATTAGCTGGTTCAGCGACGACGCCATCTCCAAGAGGGCCACGTGGGTGAGCGGGAAACTGGGAGAGCCGGGTCCCCTGGAAAGTGTAACTGTGACAACAGGCGCTGGTCCAGCTCTGGGCCCTTTGCCCCAGCAGCGGTGCTTGCCTGCCTAACTGGGTGGCAGGGACTCGGGCTCCTTCCTGCTCTATCTGCCGCCGCCCCCAGAACCTCGGCCATGACGGCTGGAAGATGCAAGCACATGTTGCCATGGGTACCACGCAAGGTGTGCAGGCCAGTGGTTCCCACCCAGGCCCCCAGCCGGGCAGCCATCACTGGGACCTGATTTCAGGTGTTTGTGTCATCCCACCTATTGGCGTCACTCTGCCTTCTCTCCCCTCAGCCCCTGTCACCACAGATCACTGCTGCTTCTGACTTGGTGTCCTGAGGACATCACAGAAACGGACTTGTGCTGTGCGTGGAGCCTTTGTGCCTGGCTGCGTCCACTCCACATGTTCCAAGGTCCATCCCTGAGGTAGCATGTGCCTCTGCTCTTCTTTTTATGGCTGAGTAGTATTCCGTTTACAGACTGAACCACATCGGGTTCCTTCACTGCATTATAAAAGGAATTTTCAAACTACCCAGAGCAACATGCTGTCTCTGCATCCACGAGCCCTGACAGGGTGACGGCAGGGATATTGGTTGCCTGCTAATTCCTGTGTTTCCTCAGTGACTTCCTTCCAGCCTTGCAGATCTTGTCTCCTGGCTCTCGTTCCCCTGTGCCTCACTCGTGGCTGTGCCGAGCCCAGGGACGGGAGAGCTCTGTGGGGCATCTGGGGACTGGACTCCTCAGTACCAGGCACTGTCTCCGCACCGGAAGCAGGATGTCCTGGACTCACTGGGGAGCAGGTGTTCCCTGGCTGGATCTTGGGGGCCCAGGCATCTCCCTAGTCAGGGGCCCATGTTTGGGGTACAGGTGGGGTACAGGCTGGCTGGGAGCCAATCAGACTTCTGTAGCTGGTTGTCTTTCAGACACAGCCTGCGAGCCCTAGGATTGAGTCCTCCCTCCTTCCCTGGCTCAGGAGTCTCCACTCTCTGCTGTCCCAAGGGCCCACACCTGGGTAACCCTCAGGGGACAAGCCTGCCCCCCAAAACTAGGGACACCAGCAGGCCAGCGATGCACCCTGGCCATGCCTTCTCCTGACCTCTAGGCGAAGGTCCATCACTGCTGGGCAGAGACCCAGCCAAGCCCAGGCCACTGAGTCCCTGGGGCTCCCTGGAGGGCACAGCCTCAGGTGAGGTGCAGACCAGGCTGAGTCCCCAGTGCGAGCTGGCCTTCGTGATGCCCCTCAGCCTCTCCTGGCTCTCTGGGGCACAGCACGGAGGCTGCAGGGACCCCTGGCTGCTGTGCCTCTGAGCCGCTTCCCAACAGCGGGGATGATGGGCCACCTTGTGAGAGGGCAGAGGACGGGGGCGCACCCACCCTGCTTGGTGACAGAGGTGCTGCAGGCCCTGGCTGGCCTTGGGCGGCCCTGGAAGGTGCTTTCTGCCGCCATGTAGGATGTGAACTTCCCACTCCATCCCGGCTTATTTTGGGATCTGAGGCTCACAAAGGTCACGGGAGCTTGGGTCTGGCCAGACATGGACGCTCCTGCCAGCCCACCTGGGACACCGCCTGGTTGGGAGGGGAGAGGACAGCGGACCACAGGCTGCTGCTGACCCGTGCTGTGGTGAGATGGGCGAGGCAGTGCCGGCCACACCTGCCCACCGGGACAGGCTCGAGGCCCTGGAGCAGGCAGCTGTGCTGTGCGCTTGGTCACTTCAGCTGGAGGCTCAAGGCGCCTCATGGGCAGCTCTGCAGGAGCCCGTTTGGCCAGGGCAGAATGGGCGAGCAGTGGGCACACTTGAGAAGCAGGGACATTCTCCAGGCCACCAGGAGCAGCGGCCAACGTGGGCAGCCACCTTGTGAGTCTCCCAGCCAGAGCCAGAGGGGAGCGGCTCTGCCCTCGTCGCCCTCCAGGGCCAGGCGGCCAGGAGGCAGTGGTGCAGGCTGTTCCATGCCAGCGTGAGTCATCACCCTCTCTGTGCCCTCACTGGGTTCGGGACTGCAGAGCCTCCTGGCCCCTCACAGGGCTGCAGTCCAGGGTGGGGAGAGCTCCTCCCCACAAGGCTTCTCCCCAGGGCTGGCGAGGCAGAGGGGTGACCTGCCCTCCCCGCGGTGGCTCAGTGGCCCCGCCCTCCACCTGCTCAGCGTGGGGAAGAGGGTGTCCCCAACTCCCTGCGGACCCCCAGTATCATTAGTATCTGAGTTATGGCCTTTGTAGCCACAGCCCTGGAAGATGGCATCCAAATACTTCTCCTACCAGCGGGGCCTCATGTTCCCAACAACTTGAAGCCATTTGGAAAAATATCAAAAGAAAAACCGAGCGACAGGAAGGTTTCTAACAGGGCAAGCTCAGGTGACCCGGAGGGACCCCTCCTTCCATGGTTAAAGGCCTTGGCACGGAGTGGAGTGCTGCCCTCCTTTTGGGACTCCCTTTGGTGAAGGGGATATTTTCAAAGAAGGGTTCACCTTTGTTTTTCAAAGCAATTTATTCCCATTCTCTCTAAAGCAGATGTCTAGAGACGTTTATCACATTTGTGCTTCTAGTGGGAAACAATTATATTTTTGACTTGGTGGATTATTTTTTTTAACCCTCAGAAGCTGCTCCTTTATTCCCTAATGTAAAATTCTAGCTTCAAAGTAAATTCCTAGGCAGTTGGCACCAAATAAGGCAGCGAACCTCACACAGCCCGGATCTGGGCCCAGGCAGGCATTCCTGGCATAGCCCAGCTCTGCCCCAGGGCTCTTAGCAACGCCAGCCTTTTGAATCTGCTTAAAACTATTAAGAAGTAATTAAGTAGTTAAAGGGTCTTTTCCAGCCGGGCCGGATTCGGGAGGTGGGCTAAAGAAAACAAACGAATAGCCAGGCTGTCTTCCTTTTAGCTGACCTTGCACGCTAATAAATTCATCCTGTATTTTTCTGCTACTGCCAATTTATGGCCCACAGGAAACTAATCTTGTTCAATCATTGGCTTCCTGTGCTTAGGTCCTAAATAGAGCCAAATGGATTTGGTGGCGGAAGAGCTCCCCGCCGTTCCTGTGGGGGTGCGGAGCCTCGCAGGGTCTGATCACCCGCGTGTGCTTATTGACTCTGACGGCAGAATTACGTTCTCCTTTTGGGCCCCCTGCACTTAAGAACAGAAAATGAAAAACAATCCTGGGAACAATGCCTACCGCAGTGCCGGACAGTGAGAGGCGGGTTGGGACCGCTGTAGATGGACCCAGGCCCTGGGGATTCGGGCAGGGCCACACTGGGGCTGGCACTCAGGAAGGCTTTGAGGAGGAGGATGCACCTGCTCTGTGATGGAAGAAAATGTGCACCAAGGTGCAGATTTGGTCCTGAGCCAGGGAGAGGTGGTTCTCTTTCCAAAGCCAGATGCATGACTTGGAGGGGAGGAGGGAGGAAGGACAGAGAGCCCCATTTGTTGAGTCACTGCTTACAAGGAGTAGAGATGGGCTTGGATGAAAAGATGGAAAGTTAGCAGGTATGGCAGTGCAGGCCTGTAATCCCAGCACGTGGGGAGGCTGACGCAGGAAGACTGCGAGTTCGAGTCCAGCCTGGGCAAGTTAGTGACTTAGCAAGACCCTGTCTCAAAATTGAACAATAGCAGCAAAACATTTAAAAAGAGATCTGGGAATTGTAGCTTGGTGTGAAGGCTGTGAGTTCAGTCCCCAGTCCAGTATTGTAAAAAACAAAAGAAGCAAGACAAAAACAAACAGAATCACAAAGGCAGGAGAGCCACGTGATCCCTTCCAGGCCCGCAAATATTACAGACAACCAACCTGGGGAACCTGTCTGTGCTCTAGACAGCCCGGAATTACTGGAAGTACCTAACCTCTGACAGGCGTCTGGTCCCCCAGTCTGGCTGCTCTCAGTGCTGGATGCGTCTTGGTCCCAACCAATTTCCTCAGAGGAGCTTCCCACCCCAGGGATCAGCGGTTGGGAACAGGGTCTGCTTCGAGTTGCTCCAGGCTTGCAATGGAAATGAAGCTGTCCAAGGAAAGGTTGGACAAGCCACGCTGACCAAGAGATGGGGTGAGGTCAGCCAAGGCCCTGAGTGACCAAGTGACCATAGCAGGGTTGGCAGAGGAGACCTAGGTCCCACTGGACATGGTGGGGCAGCACTTGGTGAAGCGTCAGGCCTCTGGGTTTCCTAGGGCTCTGTGGGGCTGCCTGGGCTCAGCAGTGGGGTTGTGAGGCTACACAGTCCCGCGAGGCATCTAGTTATTGGGGCCTCTGTTGCCAGTGGACGCAGAGGTTGGCCCTGATGTCTCCAGGGAGGGAGACAAAGGTTGAGGGGGTCTTGGCTTCCCCTGGGTCCGGGTGAGTCTCTCCAAGTGGGTGTGTCAGTCACTGTCCGGAGAATCTGGCCCAGGCTGGGGATTATGAGCACAAAAGGAGAGAGAGATGCCTGGAGTAGGTGGCCTGGACCCCATCAGTTTATTTAGAAAGGTTATTATGGCAGCAGAGCAGCTGCATGGCTGACATCAGCCGCAGGGAGATGTCACTCAAACAGCCTCTGAACAGCCCTGATTCTGCGTGGGGCTGGACAGGAGGGCTACGTGTGTGTGAAGGGCTGGACAAGGGTGACTGGAAGTGGCCACCAAGTGCCCCAGGAAGGGACTTTGCCCCTTGTTCATGCAAAGGCAGCTCCACCTCACCCCCAGAGTGGCTGGGGCCCCTCTTCACACCTGGGTCCTCCCAGCGGTTAATAGAACCACATCCCTCTTGTGCTGGCCTCTGCATCAAGTGTTTGAGCCCAAACAGGAAGCAGAAAGGTCCAGCATGAGGCTGTGTCCACCTGCCTGCTGCAGGGGACCAGGGACAGGGCCCTGGGGAGGCACAGGGCCGCCTTCCCACAGAGCAGGCACTCTGACTCTGGGCTCCTGGGCTGTGGATGTGGACACGCAGGGTCCCTCGGGAAGATCTTAGCTGGTCACCTCACTTTCTGCCCCAGCCTGGTGAGCATGGGGACCCTGTCCCTGAAGCATTGCAGGCACGGTGGACGTGATGGGCAGGCTCTGCTGCTTCTGCTGCCTTCTGCAGCCCAGCTCAGATCACCTTGGTCATGGGGAAGCTGGGCGGCAGACCCAGGTCACAGCCAGGCAGGGGACTCATGGGGAGCACACCTGGGCTCCCCGTGATGTCTGCACTAACACACACTGCCACATTGCCAGAGTGAGACTCCCTGTACCACCGTGAGAGGCGGGCACCACAGTGGTCCTGCTGAATCCAGGAGCTTGTCCTTGGGCCTGGACATTTTCCTGGCTCAGATGTTTGAAGCAAAAAGCGCCCCAAACAAGGGGGCCTAACAGGAGCCCCCTGCTGGAAGCTGGGACTCTTTCTGCTCCCACAGAGGACTCTGAAGTGTCAGCTCCTCTCCCAAGGGCTCTGAGGGACTGGGCAAGGGGATGGTGCTGTCTGCTCCCAGAAAGTGAAGAAACTGTTCAGGAAATCCCAGCTAGCAAGCACTGCAGGTTGGACAGGAACATTTCCTGCTGCCTTGGACACTTAAACATACCTCAGCAGGAGTGACTGAAATATACTGGGAATGTCTAAAGAAATTTATTACGGCAAAAGTCACACTGCCATGAATCCCCTCAAAATCCTCCCCTCACTTTGAACACAACCAACCCATCATCCTTCCCACATCCTGAAGCAGCTCTGGAGTCCTCTTTCATCAGTGTCTTATGGGGTGTGATCAAAAATGCAGTGGCTGCTGCCGAGCACCATCCAAGGGAAAGGCAGCTCCTAAGAACACGACGCTGTGTCCTTGTCCACCTTATTCACCGGATCTGGCACTGTGTAACTCCTGGCTCCTCCCCGAAGTCAGAATGACTGTGAAAGGGGAACATTTTGAATCCATTTGGGGCATTGAGGCAGCCAGGGCAGTGCAACTGAAGACCCTCAGGAAAGAGGGCTCCAGAGTGGCTGCAGGAAGCGGCGAGGACGGTGGGATGCGTGAGTCCAAAGTGAAGGAATTGGCGGAAGTGTGTCTTTTCCTCTACTAAACTTTCAAAATTTTGAGTCGCTGTATTTTTGGCCACATGACCTAAGTTGTACTGAGACTCGTTCACGTCACTTTAGCCACAGAGCTCTCCTCTAAGCAAGGTGGTGCAGTGACTGCAGATTCTCACTCTCTGGGGGCAGCTGAGCCCTGGGCCAGTGAAGCGCATTTGAGAGAGGGTAGAATCTGGTTCCCAGCGGCAGGGAAGGGCAGGAGAGTGCAACGGACCCGGAAATCCTGGCAGGGGGAGCAAGGCCACAGCAGCATGGAGGCAGAGCAGCATTCACCGTGTGTTACACAGCCAGGAGGAGGGAGGCTGACTGATCCCGACGTGAAGAGGGGATGCCTGCTCCAGCCGGGACAAATGCTGATTGCCCTGTTTTGATCATTATTTATTGTACATGTGCTAAAGTACCACACCAGGCCCCATAAATACGTGCAATTATTAACACTGAATAAAATTTTAAAAAACAGATCTGGAAGGCAGTGGAGTGCAGGCCTGGAGAGCAGCTGCCTGGGACACACTGAGCACCTTGGTGACCTCTGAGCTGGGGACCAGGAGGAGGATGGCCAAGCCCAGCTCCCTCTCCGCTTGCTCCTTGGCCACAGAATAACTGCAGCCTGTGCACGAGTCTTGGCAGTGATGGGGGGTGGAGGGACTGTGGCCAGTGACTCTGCCTTCCTGGCCTTGGCGCTCCTGGCCCTGGCGTGGGCTGCTGATGTCATTCCGTGCTGTGGTGGCTCTGATGACCTCACAGCCGGCGTATGGCATGCTCCGGGGACTCGCAGCGCGTCAGTGGCAGCTGGGGCTGTGTCCAGCACTGCTGTCCTCCCTGTACCGGGAGCTCTGATATCCGTGTCAGCTGTTGGCCTGGCTCCTAGGACAGACCTTTCCTGCTCCTCTCTGCCAGAGCCATTTGGCCTTTCCACCCACTCCGCTGGCAGCCAGTGGAGGTCATCGTGGACCTCACTGCCCTGTCTTTAGGACACCGGCCAGCTGTGCAGTTCCATCACCAGGCGCTGGGCTGGCTGTAGAGAGCTTCCCTGCCTCAGCCCAGCTGGGTTCGTGTGACAGGAGCACTTGGGGTCACAGCCACTGGGCACAGAGCCCAAGGGTGCCCAGCGGGTGCTGGCTGTGTGTGGCATGGGCTCGGGCCCACCCTCCCTTCTCGCATCAGGCAGGGGCTGAGAAAGTCTGAGCTGTGCTTGTTTTTAGCAGAGGCGAACTCGCTTTCAGAGAAGTTGCAACTACGATGCAGTAACTTTCCCCCGAACTTTTGAGAACGACGATGCCCTCAGCAGCCGGGGCGCTTAGTGCCTCTTCATGGCACGTGTATGCTAAAAACCACAGCAGAAGCCATGCAGTTAGGGCATCAGCAGGACACGTGACTGCCGCCTCGGCTTCAGACCCGTTTCCATCTGGCTCCAGATGCCCTTTAGCAGCAGAAGGATCCACCCGGGAGGCCGATGCTGCAGTGAGCTGCCACAGCGCGTGCAGCTCCAGTGGGCTGGCAGGGACCCCACTCTCTGCCTTCCTGGCCTCCACTCTGAAGCCACAGGGCACAGAAGCTGATGCAGTCCTTCCACTCGGATGGCTGGAGGCTTCCTGGTGACGGGTTCAAGCCCAGCGCCTCTGGGCAGGGAGCCTGGGGTGACCCGGGACCTCGGGAGGCTGGATGTGATGTGCCCAGGGATGAGTGGGTGCCAGGTACCTCCCCTCTTCTCCCTTGGAGAAGCACCAAGTCTGAGGGGTAACTGGAAAAAATGGGCATGTTCAGATTCAACCATCAGCACAGTGAGAGGACGCCAGCGCTGCTTCAGAAAGTGGGGAGAGCCCGGGGAGGGTGTGTGCTAGGTGAGGCCCTTCCGAGGGACGCCTGGCATTGCAACTCCCCGGCACCAGCCTGCTCCTGCCTCCCGGATCTCAGATGGGCTGGGGGGACCCAGCACCTCCCTTCAACATCACCTCGGGAGGATAGAGCTGCAGCGCACATTGCCTCACTTCAACAGGAAGTAGGGTCGTTGCCAAATGGAGAGCCGCACTCCTACCGAAACAGACAGAACCAATCAGCGGCATCTCAGGGTGGCGTTGACTCCCTGAAAGATGAGCAGGAGCTTTTCGTGTTCCTGCTGGCCGTCTTTATGTCTTCTTTGTGAAAAGTCCTACTCATTTCAAGTTCTGGTGGTTCTCGTTTTTTATTGTTTTGTTAATTTGAACTTTATTGGCACATGTTTGCAGCACATAATGATGGCCCTGGCTGTGGGGAGCTGGTGCGCAATGCATCTTCATTCCTGTTATGTACCCCCTTCCTCCCCACCCCTCCGGGCCTCCGTCCTCTTCCCTTTTGCAAAAGATCTACCCCCCTGTTCCCTATGATCTGTCTTTTATTTCTTTTACCGTGCCCAGCTAACTTTTTAAATATTTTTCTTTTTCTTTTTTGGTACCAGGGATTGAACTCAGGACCTTGTGTTTGTAAGGCAGCTGTGGTGCCACTGAGCTGCATCCCCAGCCCTATTT